GACTATCACATGGCCCTTGGTCATCTCTATCGTTTTTGGTAAGCACTCAATTTGATGGTTGGTAGGCCCCTTATTTCTATGTGGCACAACGTTCCAAGACTCTTTGTCATGATAAGCGCTGATAGATCTCAAGCTCTAGATTAGCCAGAGCCCTGGACTCCTACTTGCAGGGGAGAAAACTTCAATGGGCACAGAATCCACTCTGTTCCTCTTACATCTGCTGAGAAATGTTGTTTTGTGTCTTATCTGAGGTATAAAGGAGCGACATAAGGTCAATCTATCCTTCTGTGCCCCTATACTGAGATGATGGCCCCTTCTCACCAGTGAATAATAGCTGTTTATCAGTTGAGAGCCTCTTTCTTATAAGACTTCTTCCAGGCTCAGGATCTTTTTATGATCTTAGCGCTGACAATGATCTGGACCTACATATCTTGAGGAATTTTTTTTTTCTTTCTTTCTATTTGTCTGGGCCTAGCTAGTGTCCACACACTCAGGAAGCTTTGCTAGCTGTTCACCTGCACCCAAACCGTGGGCTCTAAGTAGAGGCTTCGGTTAGCTATTTACTCTGGGTTTTACTCACAAGTCCCTTCTACGGGCAACTGGACTGTGAAAGTAGGGTCCCATTTCCTTTTCTTTGCATAACAGTGACTACAGTAGGTCTCCTACATAGGCACGCTGTGATTGGAGAGCAGACTGTGGGCACGGAGATCAATAGCATCCAGATTAACCTTGAAGTAGGATGTGAACTAGAAGAAGTGAATCAGAATCTTACCAGGAAAGAGGACAGGAGTGAATGGAATATATAGAAACAACTCCAAGTGGGAATTCTCGAGACCTTATAGGGAAGTTATCAAAGGGAAGCACATTGTTGTTTGAGCAAAGGGGGCTCCTTACCTAGTCAAAACTCTGTCCTCAAATCTCTTTTTCCTTGTGTCTGTTTACTATATTTTCTGCATTTTGATTTTGGGAACCAGTGTCAATATATAATTTCTTTGGCATCCATCCATCCATCCATCCATCCATCCACATGCATCTATCCATCTACCATCATCCATTCTCTCATTCACCCACTCACCGTGTCAACCCATCTACTCATCAATCCATCCATCCAACCATTCATCTATCCACTGACCATTCATCAAATCATCCATTTATTGATGCCTGCATACATCCATACACGTATCCATTCATTCATCTGCCCATGTATCCATGGACCTATCTATATACCCATTCATCTATCATCACCCATCCTGTATTCCCCCATCTATCCACCATGCATCTGTGTATCAATAAACAGTAAGCTGGCTTTATAGCAATATGCCTTGGGTGGTGGTAGGATCTAGAGATATATGTGAGGTCTCTAGAGCTAGAGATACACAAGAGATATGCAGTCCCTTCGTTAAGTAGCTTAAAAGTTTAGTGAGGCAAACAGCTCTGACATTACATAGCACATCATGGAAGAGAATGCCCAGGGTGATGTCAAGGCAGAGGGAAGACCTATAGCTATGACTGGAAGAGAGCATGAGTTAGGCCTGCTTCTTTGCATGGAGATGTTTTTATCCTTCAAAGCAGACATGCTTGTGGGAGTGCCGAGGGATCTCATAGCCTCTATGAGTCATACCCTGCTTTATTCTCTCCACGGAAGGCCTCTCTGCATTGATGCATCTGTGAAGTACCTTAATTCAGTGTGAACCGAAATGCTGGGGCACAAATGAGAAGTTCCCTGTTCTGAGCCACAACTGGTGTGGTGCTGCCCCAATGTGTGGCTGAGTCTGCATGTACGTGGGTCAGAGGCAGAAGGGTATCAAACAGTCCTTGCTGGCTCAATAGCGCTGAATATGAGTGGGTGGCTGGGAGATGCCTGAATGTCTTGAGAAGAGAAACCCTCACACTGTCCACGGAAATCAGGATTGAGCTAACTTCTTGGAAACAGGAAATAAGAAAACTCAAGTCAACGCAAAAACCACTCACAGTCCTTTATACCAGCATCTCCATTTTGGAGTTGTATTCCCCAAGAGAGGAAGGCATGTCAAGAAATGACTTTTCTGTGAGGGATCCTGAATGGTGAGGAACTGAGAAGAAAGGAGTGGTTAACTTTATTCGTGTGTTCAGGCTTCCACACGGTGCTTCTTGTAGGATGGCAGCAGAAAGCAGGTTTCTAGTGGTGAGCATAACCGTGCCCTCTGCTGTCACGGAAGCAACAGCTTCTGTCCATCCACCCATGTCTCCATCTCCACCCACTCCTCACACTCCCAACATGGGGAAGTTTCAGATCTGCAGATTTAGTGGTTCTCATCCCTATACTAACAATAGTCAAAATCAAGGACACTTGACGATGATGATAGCACCGGGCTCTGCAGTCATGATCAGGACAGAGAGGAAGCAATCTTCTCCGTCTATGTCAAGAAGGAACTAACCCTTAAAGATATGCCATTAAGCTGTGACATAATGGATGCTATCGGTGCTCTGCCTTCTGGCCTTGGCCTACCTCTAATGTCACCATCATTTCTGTTGGATAGTTTCCATCCCCAGAGTCTTTGTCGATGCTTTTCCTTTTGGAATCATCTAGACTACAACATGAAAGGCCAGTTGTGCAGGCTGGGGACGAGGCATGGAAACATTTGGGAAGGAAAGGGCATACTGGGGAATGGTGGGAGGTAACGGGTTCTTCCCACAGCCCAAGGATCCTATTTGATCTTTGCAGGAGCCCTGTGAAGCCTACATATACTCCTATTTTTATTCAGTGACTTTGATTTTCTGGAATATTTTTAGCAGCTCGGTGCTGCTTAGGTGTTCAGAATACAATCCCCTTGACCCGCTTTAAGGATGGCGGCTTGCATAACAGCTATCAGTTGAGGAGCAACACATCTGATGGAAGATGTGTTTATCTCTCCCCCACTCCCTTCCCTTTTGCCCCTCGTCTTGGTGCTCCATGATGCCCTCTTAAGGATTGGGGGTTGAAGGGCAAGAAAGCAAGGCTGTCCTCCTTTCCCATACACTGTAGCGGGTACAGGCAATATGTGGGATCCATTTTTATCCATATAGATCAGTAAGGGTGTATTCTATCTGCCCTTATCCCTGGGTCTTACAAGCAGTCTGGGCCCCCATACTTCTTACTGGGATTTCAAGTCTTTAGTCGTGAATTCTCACTCACAATCTTATTCCAGAGAGTTTCCCCTAGGCATGGGTCTACTTTATCTAGCTTTATCATGCATGAATAAGCGGAGAGGGTCTTCTCAGATGT